TGTGACGGCGGCAGCGACAGCGACGCCGGCTTTGAAGTGCGATGTGCTCTGACTGCAAAAAAGTGCCGTTTAAGGTTTCGGGGTTTTTTTTTGTCTACTTGTTGTTGTTTCGCTTTTGCTTATTGCATTATTTATACGCTCGCATTTACTTTCTTGGGCGCTACTCACGCACGCACACAAGCTATAAACAAAACGTGCACGCAGACAGCGACAATATCAACAATAGCAAAAGCTACAACAACAACAGCAACTACAAGGTGTCGCATTGGTGACAATTTGCGCCTACTGCAACACTCTCGGTCTCGGTCTAAGCCGCTCTCGCAGTTGACGCTGCCGCGGCCGCAGTCGCAGCAGCAGCGCCAAACGCGACCGCATTCTCAGTCAAACAACAATCGCAACTGAAGTAACAACGGTGTCCGCGTCCCGTCCACGGTATTAATAAGTATTTACCAGACCACCCGCCCTCCGTAAATCGCAAGTGCTATTAAGAAATAAGAAGAAGCAGCCGCTGAAAAGTGATTAAAGTAAACACACACACACGAAATATTGTGCAAAAGCTTTGCCAAAAGAGCGCCAAGTGCAAGCGACTTGTAGTGTTTCTGTCTCTGTCGCTCTGCCCGAAAGTGATGAAATTGTTGTTGCCGCATTCAGCCGGAGTGTGTTGTTGTGCTTAATGTTGCGTCTGCCAACGCGCGAGCAGTGTGTCGAGTGGCTGCAGTGCATCCTGGTGCTGATCCTGCACGTCTGGAGCTTTTGCAGCATGTCGCTAACACGCAGTCGTCAAACGACGCTCAAGTGGATTAAAAAGCGTTTGGCGCTGCCGCGTCGACGCCAGCAGCAGCAGCAGCAGCAGCGGTCGCAGCAGCAGCGGGTGAGTGTCCTGAGTGTGACCAAAGTGGGTCAACTGTAAATTTCAACCCCATTTGACTTTGTTTAACTCCATCAAACTAATTGATTTTTGTCTAACGCTTAATTTCTGTGGAATTCAATTAAATGCGACGGACGGACGGCGTCCCGGCATAAATTCAATTAAAGCCAATAATTTTCGGCGTAATTTTGCAGCTAATTTTGTTTTTCCTGCGAAAGGGTTCAAGCTTTTCGCATTGGCGTGACTTGCTACAATTTCTCCAAAACTGCAGACGTCAAAAGCTCAACCCCCCCCCCCCCCCCCCCCCCCCCCCCCCCTACGACAACGACAACTCTCCCCCCGCCCCCCTGGCCGTGACGTAGTCGCCAACTGTCTGCCGCTTTGTTCCGTTTCCGCTTTTGGGCCACGCCAAAAGGTAGGTGTGTCCACCAGCCTGGCCTGGCCCTATCTGGCCTGACCGTGAGCCGCATTCTTGTTGTTGTTCTCGTTGTTGTTGTTGTTGTTGTTGTTGCTATTTTGCATGTTCACTCTGTGCCTGCGCCTGAGCCTGGGCCTGTCCCCAGTTTGAGCGATTATCGCTGTCAGTTTGAAAAACAGTTCTGCGCCTCTTATCATCAATTCAAGCTAACTGTACAGCATTTTAGCCGCATTGTTAGAAATCAAATTTATGCGAATTTTATGAAAGTTTTCTTGTTTTCTTGTTTTTTGTTGAATTTCTATATTTTTGTGCATTTTTGGCAATTATTTGCGCGATTTCGAAATAGTTTTGTTTGGGCGTGTTGCCGTAGCTGCTCATAAGCAGGCAAATTGCAGGCACAACACGTCTAAGGGGAGAGTACGGCAGACGCTGCGAGCATATCAAAGAGTTTTCTATTGCCCTGATAGAGAGTATGGACTGTTAATACCCTTAACCCATTGAATTGAGTAACAAGGGTTAAATGGTTTTGGGCAAATGTAACAGAACTGTGTTTCCCTGTAGAGAGCCTAAAGATCGGGTATATTTGCCGCCAATTTGAAAACCACTGCTTTAAATTTACAGTTAGATAGTCAATAAAAAGGGTATTCAAGAAGCGTTCTTGTCTATATTTCTAGTAGATAGTCTAGAAATTACCTCAAGTCCTTTACCTTTGAAAGTCCACACTTTAAACTTGCAGTTATAGAGTCTAAGAAACTCAAGAATTTCTCTTTTCGATCAGGTTTAAGGTCACTGTGAACAGAGTATGGTGCAGTCGAGTGTACACGATTGCAGCTATCGTACTTAGGCTCGTGTCGTACTGGCTTAGTTGGGTTAAGAAATAGGATTATAAGATCCAGGGTTGTTAGTTTCATTATAAATCATAATTTTATTATAAGTTTAATAATAAATTTCGCTGGTTCGCTTCAGAGTTTGAACCCGCGCACTACCTTTACGTTGGATTCCTTTAGTTGCTTCTCCGATGTCCTGCTTAAGATTCGTTTCATCGAAAAGTAAATTGTAATTTTTGGTGCCAACTTAGCAGCCCCGCTAAGCCAACATACTTAGGGTCTAAATCAGGTTTTTAAACTAGGTTTAATGTCATATGAGATAATTGTTGGGTTAAAGCATTTCCAGCACATTAATTATATCTATTGTATCTAATTAGAAAAGTGCTGACATCATTAATTGACTCACAATTTAATTGAGTAACAACTGGCGGAAATGCACATTGAATGAGTTAAGAACTCAATTGAAACTGATCAGCTGATCAGAGATGTGATCAGTATTTAAGAGCTCTTAGGAGCTAGTTGCAGCTTAAGAGAGAGTATTTGGCGTGTGGCATTCCTCACACATAGCTTCGGTCTGGTTGTAAATTAAAAATATAATATTTATACGCTGTCCAAATGTTTATTTCTCATCACTTAAGCGCTCGGCCTGGGCTGGCTGTAAACAAAAATCGCATGTTCCGATAATCGAAATCACGCGGAATACCGGGGAATCGAGCATAAAACCATTCTGTGTGCGGTAAACAAAGGGCCTGTCAAAAGACGGACAGCGAGTGTGGAAACTATTCGAGTATTTTATTTTTGCCAAGTTCAAGGCGCTGGCAGATGTCGCTCTATGCGCAATTATGGCTAACAATGTCCGCCGGGGGCATGGTCGAGGGGAGCGCAGTGCAAACAATGAGACTCCCCTCGGCACACAGCAAAACAGACTAACAAACAATAAAAAGAAATACCCTGTCTCCCCTGTGCCCAGCAAATGTGGGTGTGTTGTTGTTAGCGGCAAATTCATCCATCACTATGCAACACAATAAAACAACGTCCATAAGAACGGGGTGCCTAAAGTCATAAAAAGAATTTGAATATTACTTAGAGACGGGTTTCTGTTTAGGAATAATTAATAATGCGTTCCGAGAACAATTACGTTCAAGTCTTAAGAGCAAAGGAATTCATACTATTTTGTTTTTGAATATTCTTCGTTCGTTAGTTTTTTTAAAGCAACTCTATTAACTGCGACTGAATTTGCGACAAAATGAGTGTCAACTTTAGCTAAAGAAAGTTGGGACTACTCAGTAATAATTTTATTATTATATCAAATTGTATTAATTAGATAGGGTGGAGATATAATGATTGAAGAAATTTCAAAGCAAGCCCCTTGGCACGCTCCGAACATGCCAGAAGGGCTGCAACTACTCATCAAACATGTTCGATGGTTCGGTTCGAGTCAATGACTCGTCTTGATATTGGTTCGAGTATCTGGTTGTGCAACAAGGGCGCGTTCGAGCCTTGGCTAATCAAATTGAAAGAAAACACATTCGCTTCGATCTTGAGATATTTTTTGATTATTCAAAAGCAAAAGTAAACATTTATTGATATTACTTAAGAATAAAATGTTCCCATTTATTTATTTCTATTTATATAATTATGAGAATTTAAGTTATGCTGTAGCATAGTGTATTTGTTTATTTGGAATTCGACTGACTGACTGGCATTCAATCAATTCAAGCGCGATTCATTCGTTCAGCGGATTCACATTGAAAATCGTTCGCACGCATGGAAAATCATTCAAGCCTGGCAATGGGCGAGTGTATCTAAGCGCTGGGTGTGTATCCGTGTGTGTGTGTGTGCGAGTGTGTGCTGAACACCCTCTAAGCTATTTCTGTGTGTGTGTGTGTGTGTGTGTGTGTGTGTGTGGGGCGTGTGTGCGGCTTTTCCATTTGGCGCTCGGCTCATTTCAATTTAGTTGCGCGCCGCAAACGCTTTGAACTTGTTTTCCACCGGACAGACGCGGACACATCGCATTCGCAGCGCCCAGTTGAAGTCGAAGTCGGAGTATAACCAGACCCCAATACCTGTGTGTCTGGCCCTGCCCAGAGCCAAATCCTAATCCCGGCGCGTTTTCCCATTGATCTCGTCGTTCGCATCGCGCAACGCCCCCCCGCAAAAATTTGTGCGCGTTTTGATTTTTTGGCGCGTTTTTCATTTGGATTTTTCTCGACTATTTTTTGGCCCCTCGCACATTGCACGTAGCTGGGGACCTGAACCTTTCTGGCGCTGTCTCTTGGCTCTAGGCTAAAAAGAAAAAAAGTTAAAAATAAAAAAAAAAAAAAAAAAAACAACAACTATGTATTGATAAATTGCCAGCCGACGATTTCCGTCGTGACCCGCGCGTTATGCAAAATGCTCAAATGTAAATAAATATTAAAATAATACAAAAATCCGACTGAGTGCGGCTTTGTTGGTTTTTTGTTTTCGTGAAAAATGAAGTGAATCTGTCTTTTGTAAAGTGAATCGCCATTGCCATAATAATAAGCAATAATAATAATAATGTAAGCCGACAAATTTCGGAGTGGCAGCCAGTACGAGGCGAGTCGAGGCGATTCGAGTTGAGTTGAGTCGCAGCAAGTCGAGTCATTTCTCGCGTTTCTTACAGCATTTTCTTTATTTATGAAAACAATAAACGCAACACAAACTACGCATTAAGCGTGCCCCGCGACCCTTTCAATCCTCCCCTGGACCCAGCCTCGAGCCGAGCTCAGGCCCTGGCCCAGTCTGGAGACGGTTTCCTGGCACTGTGGCACGCATATAATTTGCATGTGGATATCTCGAGCGGCGCGCATCGATCTTTATGAGTCTCTCACCCCCCTCCGCACCGGCGCCCCCGTCAACTGCAGCAGCGAGATGTCTTATGTAATCTGGAAACTATTCATGAAGCAATATGCTCGCCTGCGCCTGGGCCTGGGCCACAATACGCAGCAGCCTCTGAGGCCGACATTGATCTGGCATTCGTATGCGGCCATTGCAACGGTAGGTGGCTTCGCTTTGGGGCATCCACAATAGCTTATGGAAATGGAATTGAAATTGGAATTGGTTACGGGATTGGGATTGGGTCTCGGTCTGGGTCTGGGCATGGGCATGGGCTTGGGGGTCACCTGGTATATGGAACAGCCTGTTGCCTGAGCTGAGCTTTTATTGATTTAAATTGAGTAATTTGTAATGGCACAGATCCATATTTGCCAGTTGAGCTCGCGTGTAATTGCAGATTTATGTTGCACAATTACTCATAACTAAGCGCTCAAATTGAGAGATCAAGACACGATATCATATTAAACCCATTTACAACAGACGCCCATCACTTTAGCAAAACGTAAGCGATTCCCACGGGGAATACCTTTTTTGGCCATGGCATGACAACATTTGTATTTAAGTCTTTGTTTCAAGAACTGATTTTTGAAACGTTAATCACATTAATTGCATGTTCAAGCCAACGTCCTTTGCTCTTCATAAATTTTGATCTGCCATAACTTAGACAAATGTATGCATGTAAAATGAATGTGTCATGCATGCATGTATGCAAATATATACGAATGTCTGTTTGCATTCTATATATCTTCTATATCTGTTTATTAAAAACATTTTACTTTCCTTGGCGGAAAGATGCACTTTTAATAAAACGTATTCTTAAATTGCGCCCTACTACGCGATTCTCACGAATTCAAATAGGCCTTGCAGTTCTTCATGCTTCGATAGCAAGTGAAGTGTCTCTCTGTGTGTGCTTTTCTGCATGTGTGCATGTATGCATGCATGTATGTATGTATATTTGTATGTATGCATATATGCATGTATGTATGTATGTATGTATGTATGTATGTATGTATGTATGTATGTATGCATGTATGCATGTATGTATTTATGTATGTATGTATGTATGTATGTATGTATGTATGTATGTATGTGTATGTATGTATGTAATGCATTTACATATATATGTTTGTATGTAATGCATATTTATATATGTATGTATGTGTGTATACATGTATGCATTAATATATGTTGTACTGTTCCATTATCTTTCTGAAAATGGAATTGATTTCCCTGCGATACGCCTTTTCGCACCTGATTTTTTACTCTAATTTGATTTTAATTGATTTTTCTCAAAATAATTATTTGAATTAATTTTTGTTTTTTGTAGTAGATAAAGTAGAAAACATTGACAGCACATTTCCCGCACATTAAAGCGAAGCCAAAGCGAGCCGCAATTAATGCGAAGGAAATGAAGCAGATTTGGGGGCCAACAAAAAATGATGCAGAAAAACGAAAGCGCCAAAAAGACAAACTAAAAAGTTGCCGCAATTGACGTGCTCGTAATTTTTTTTATTGATATGATATGAAGAGCAGGAGACGGGACCACCAACAGGCCAGACCCGAGATCCGAGAGCCGATTTGTTGGCCAATGGCCATTTGGGCATTTGTCCGATTCGCTTGCCGGCTTAAACGTACTGTCTGCCCCATTGATAATAACAATCTGGCCAAGAGACAAAAAAAAACAGAAACAAAAAACCCAGCTAAGAGATGCAATAAGTCAGCGCTAAGTGTTAAAATGTCGATATTAATTGTGGACTGGCTGCCACCGGTTGCAGCAGCAGCAGCAGCGGCTCCTGCCACAGACCCTCCCCACCCCCCACCCCCCGCCGAAGCTAGACACACGCTCGCATTTAAATAAATTGCGATTATGGCCGCAAATGTGGCAGGCAGCAGAGCCAGTGAACCGCGCAACGGCCGCCAATGCGCTAATAATATTTATCAGTGCCTCATTTGTTGCACGGACATGGAGTAGGGGTGGCACTCGATGGCCAATAAACCCCCCAAAAAAAAAAAGAGGAGAAGCAAATAAAAATTGTTGGCTGCCTGCAGTTGCGGCTAATTGCAATGAATGTTGTTGTTGTTGTTGCTGGTTGTTGCCTCGCTTTAGTTAATGTTGTTGTTGTTGTTGTTGTTGTTGTTGTTGTTGTTGGCACGTTGTTGCCTGTTTGGTGGGGGACGCTGCTTTGTGCATCCGCTCGTCAGTTTTCGGTTGCCGTTTTCCACATTGTTTGCCAGCCATCCCATGCATATTTATTTATTGCAACTAAGTAAGTTTTGCATTTTAACCAGAAATCATGCAAAAAACTGAGACATGCAACAGCAACAGCAACAGCAGCAACAACTGCCACAACTCAGACGCTGAACGGCTTTCAAATCGCCTTCGAAGCTGTTAACTGAGGAAAGAGCCACGGAGAGCGACAGCGAGACATGAAAACTGTTTAAGTTTAATATTTTCCCGCGCGCGCACACGCACAACGTGGGAAAAACTCATGAAAAATTCAACAACGCATTCGGTTTGAATACAAACATTTTGCATGCCCAATTGCAATACGGCAAAAGGCAACAAAAAATACAAACTCGGACTTTGGCCGGAGTTACCATAGGGCAAAAGCCGGAAAAGGCGCCACTGATAAGCTGCACGGCACAAGGAAATGCATGAAGAACTGCTCACTCAAAAAAATCATAAGCGCATTATATCATATCATATCGTATATGCAGACATATCTATATTAAAATGTAACCCGATCTGCGATTGGTAATCAGCTTTTAAATGAAGTGCTAGCTACAAATATTATTAGATACCTTAATTTGGCATGAAGTAGACCTCCCAGTAGAGCATAAATTGCCGAGCAGCATTCACCCTTCCTTAAGCTCTTCCAGCTGTCCGTCTTCATTACATCTCGTCTGCTTTTAGGTCTATATATAAAAGTCTATACATAATGATAAATTGCCTATTATATTATATATAGCTCCAACAGCAACAATCGATTATCATTATAACAAAAAACTGCTCTGTTAAAGTTCTTGGTTTGAACCAGCGCCTCGCCTTTAGTTTCAGCTTATTTTCCACATCCCTGCGCCTAGCTTTTATTTAAAAACTTTGCCATATCTTTGAATTTTCGTTAGACAATTCGATTTTCCATTTACATCTGCCCCTTGTACTGAAAATATTGCCAGCCAGTAAATATTTTCACAATCAAAATGCGGGCTAAATTAGTTGCTCTACTCAAAATTGGCAACTGTCAGATAAATGCAGTGTTTGAGCTTAAAGTTATATTGTACTTTGAGCCTGTAACTGCCTTAAATGTGTTCTTTAATATTTTTGGTGCTTTTTAAAACCTTATCTAAATAAAATAATAACTAATACATTTCGAGCTTATGCTCGTTCCAGCTTTAACAGCATAGAATAAAACATTTGGTCTCCTTTTTGTCAACGTTTGAGTCTACAGCTAAAAGGCTAGCTATTGGTGTATAATTGAGTATATATATATATATACAGAATAATCTTTGTTAACTATTATTATTATTATTAATTAGTTAATTAATTGTAACTTTTAGTAATAGTTGATAAAGCCATGTCTGTGTGTTCGTCCGTCCGACTGCCTTGAAACTTGGCTTAAGTACGTTTTTCTGCTACAGGTAGGACATATGTTAAAACTAGTCGGATCGGAAAACTATATCATGTAGCTGCCATAGGAACAATCGGTCGAAAAGCAGATTCTTTTCTTTTTCTCACATATTCTCACATATCTGCAAAAGGCAATTGTCTACAAAGGTATTAAATCTTCGCCGTGTCGAACATAAACCTACTTTCTCGATGAATTATCTTTATTATTATTTATTCTTTTGTTTATTTTATTATGTGAACCAATTTAGGCGCAGTTGCCTTAAATGTTTACCCTTGCCAACTTCAACTTATCTTTATTATTATTGTTGAACTTACTTTAAGTCATTTTGGCTGAGCTCTTAGCCAATCGATTTAAGTTGAATTGATTTAAATTGAATTCCCGTCTTGTTTGGGCCACTTAAAATGCGCGTCATGCAATCGTTAGCCCGCACTTTGCAGGGTATGCGCCATTCGTTTACACCTTGTCACATGTCACACGATATTACGGGCATTTTTATTTTATTTCTTGATTGTTTTGATTTTAAAATTTTTTGATTTTTTGTGTAACTGCTTAGCATGCAAATGGGTTTTCTCACATCATTTCCATTTACAGCCATAGCCAGAGACTCGACCAATTCATTTCTCTCTCGTTTGGGAAGGTGGGAAGCGGGAGGGAGGGAGGTAGGGGAGGGGGCAGTCAGAGGTTAGGCCAAGCCATTAACGCGTCGGAGTTGGAGTTGGAGTTGGAGTCCAAGAGTTGCGAGCTGTGGACTCAAGTAATTTTCAATTTCTTTTTTGGCTGCGGCTGTCGCTTAATTTGGGGAGCGGGAGCAGTTGCAGTGGCCACCCACGCACACACACACGCACACACACACGCACACTCGAATGTGTCTCCAATGCGAGTCCATTTGTGGCGCGGGCGCAATTGCAATTTGCACCGCCAACGCAACCACTTGGCCACATTCAATGTCCACACACAGTCGCACACATACTCGCACACACAAATGTGGCGCCCCGTTAGCCAGTTGCTAACAAATTAGTTACTGACGCAATATTTTCGTGTATTCCGCTTGTCTTTTGCCACTATCAAAATCACACGCAATAAATTTAATTTGTTTTTAGTGGGGGCAGGTGTCTAGCTTGCCGAGTGGAAGACCTGGATGCTGGCGGCGGCAGCAGCGGCAAGCGGCTTGTCCAATTAATAAAAGAAAACGCAGTCATAATGTTTTGATTAGCACAAATGTGACAAGCAGCTCGCATACGAAATTCATTTTCCAGCTTAGATTTGGGCTCTTGATTTCCGATGTGGGTCAGCCAAGTAACTGGACACGCGTGAGAAGCCAATGTCTGGCAGCTATTTAATATATATTTATGTACAAATATGTGTTTATGTGTGTGCATCAAATGAAAAGCAATTCCAAGCGCGCCGCAAGGTTGGAAACTGGTCCACGATGCACTGAAGCGACCTTCCATTAATGGCCAAGCTGGCTGCGGAGCTGGGCGCAACACTTTTCTTTGATTTGCCTGCCACTGGCCAATAAAACCTGGCCAACTCGCTGCGACCCACTGCCCAAGACCAAGACCCAGTCTGCAGTCCGCAGCAGACACGCACGCACGCATAAAGACGCCTCCGGGCGGCCCCAGTCTCAGCCCGGGCCAGGCTAATTAATTGATGAGCTGCGTCCGGCCGCAAATTGGATGCCGCTGCTTTTGCTGCTGTTGTGGCCATGGCAATGGTGCCTCGCCAGAAACTGGCACAAATGTACAATATTTTAGCTGATATATTTATTGGTATTTATTTTTGGGGCGCACTTCAAAAGTAGCCGCCTGCTGTTGGCAATTTATTGTGGCGCATGCGCATGCCGCATGCCGCATGCCACTGGCGACATCTGGCGGCCAGTCTAGAGCTCCGGCTAGGACTAAGCACAGGACACCAAATCAAAGCAGTTAGTGGCCAACACAAAGCGGTACGGACAACGCGTTTGCCAATTCTCTAGGTGTGTGTGTGTGTGTGTGGTGTGTGGGCAGCAGAAAAAAGTGTTGCATGTGCGTGCCTGTGCGGCTTATATGGCAAGCGGCCGCTTAGCCAAAAAGTGTCACATTGTCAGCCGAAATTTTAAGCATTTTTTTTTCTTGTTGTGGGTCGGCTAGCCAAAAGCCAAATTCAAATTCAAAATCCCAAAAGCAAATCCAATGGCATTGTTATGTGTTATGGTCAAAAAGGAGGCGGCGGCGACGGCGTTGGCCACTTTTTGGCCACTTTCACTGCGCAAATTTGTGCAGTGTGTGCAAAAGAAAGTGAATTCTACTGTGCTACACTTGACCTATGACAGTAACAACAACAAGGAGACCAACAACAACAACAACAACATGAGAAACATTTGACGTTTTGAGCTTTGCCAAAGTCATTTGATTGTCATGCAATGCAAATGCGACTGCAACTGCCAACTGCTGCGATTGCATTTGTTTTTACTTGTATTTTAGTTAAGCGCAAACGCCCCCTTCATGCCGTGCCACGCCCATTCTGTTGTCTGTGGCTCTGTGTGAAATCGGATCAATGTTGTCCCCAATTGATTTTTTGTTTAACTTTTAACATGCACCCGGTCACCGGGTAGCCCCAGGCAACCCAACCCTGTGTGTGTGTGTGCGTGTGTGTGTGTGTGTGTTCGAAGAACCTTTTTATTTTGTTTTTGTGCCCCCAATTGGAAACACACCCTATTTTAGGTAAACACATGTTTAACAGCCAAGTGCAGCAATTTATATTACTGGAAAATCTCAGAAAAATTAGTTAGCTGTTGTATCCCTCTAATTTATTCTGTTCTCTCTAGCCTTCCTCTCACTCTCACTTCTAACTTATCTTGAAAAATTTCTAACTTATCTCAAAAAACTCATTAGAATCTTTAAACATTTTATGAATGCATTCAAAGTCTACTTCTTTCTCTGATTCTTACTTTCTCATTCCTTGGCATCTTTACATCGCCGTTCTATGCGATTTTCACTATACAAATTTTAGTCAAACAGTTCTGTTTCCTTGAACTCTCTTCAATTATTTTCATTATCGTTCACGCCTGCCTTAACTCTCTCTGTTTCTCTTGCTTTTTGTAGTTCCCACAGGATATTTCAAATTCCGAGCTAATTTTAACACTATTTTAAGGGTTCCGTAAAGTCCAATAGTTCTATGACCAAAATGCATTAACTCTTTACCTTTGCTTGTATGTATTTTATTTGTAAGTATTCTCTTTCTGTTGCTGTCTTTTCGCCCAATGCAGACTGACACAAACAAGGCAGCTGCAGCAACAACAACATCTGCAACAACAACAGCAACAAACGGCGACCCAGGAGCCGAATTAGTGGATCAGGGCCATTTAAGCGAGATCTTGGTGCTGAGTGACACTCAAATCGATGGCCAGGCCGCGACGGCGGCGCCGCTAGCAGTGGCCATCGACATGGACAACATGAACACGGACATGGACACGAGCACGGACACGGACACGGCCAACAACAACAGCAACAACAACGACATGAACGAGGCCAGAGCGGGCCACACAGCGCCAATAGCGCGCGACGAGTTTGTAGAGGAGCTGGAAGAGGAGGAAGCGCAACTGGAGACGATGCAGCAGCAGCCCGAGCAGGCGGAGCAGCTGTCGGCGCTGGCCAAACCAAATGCTAATTATGTGTGCTGTCAATGCCCAGCAACAACAGCAACAACAGCAGCAACAGCAACAACTGTGAACCGCAGCAAGTCGCGGGTACGCAGCTATCTAAAGAAATGCAAGCAACGCCTAACGGGTCAGCAGAGCAGACCAGCGACAACAGCAACAACAGCAGCAGCAACATCTGCAACAACAGCAACAACAGCAGCAGCAACATCTGCAACAACAGCAACAACAGAAACAACAACAACAACAATTACAATGATCAAGAACGAAGGAACAGCACCCACAATAGTGCAGATAGAGTGCGAGGAGCAGGCTGCCGAGACTAAAGAGGAGAAAGAGGAGGAGCAGGAGGAGGCGGAGGAGGACTCCAGCTGTGGCAGCAGAGATTCAGCCAGCGCATATATCGACTGCATGCCGCTCGACTTGAGTCTGCGTCGAGCGCCAGCCGCGCCGCAGGAGTCCAGCAGCGATGCCAACAGCAGCGACTGCGAAACAGAAGAGGAGCTGAGGTTGCCACAGGAGCAGCAAGAGGTGCAGGAGGTGCAAGAGGAGCAGCAGGCTGTCCAGGTAACCTACAACAACAACAACAACAACAACAATAGTTAGCCCACTAACATGGGCCCTTTTTCTCTTTTTGGGGCGTACTTAATGTGCCCACAGCAGGCAATTGTAACTGGAGCTGGAGCTGGAGCTGGGAGTGCGAGGGAGACGGAACTGGCTGTGGATGTGGATGTCATGCTGGCTGAACTGATTGACAGGCATCTGTCGCACATTTATCCCATCTACTGGGCACGCACGCGTGCGATTTTAATGCGCCAGGCACGTGAGCTCCTCCTAGACCATTTCGAGGGCTGCCTGCCCAGTTTCGAGCAGCGATACCTATGCAAATTTGCGCAAATTGCCGCCAAGCTGCGCGCCACTCATCAAATTGGCGAGGTAAGTGCCCCACAGACCCAACAGGCCTCCTCCTCCGCCACCCCCTCCCCAGCTGAGAACCCCACCTCGCAGATCGCAACAGATTGCCAGATAGAATGCCACAGATCTATCATTTAGTGTGTGCGTTTCTGCAGGCTCGCAAATTAGCGCATGAGCAATTTAACGATCCCCAGCTATGGAAATGAAAATAACAAATGCGAATTGCATGGGGTTGGCGAACGGGAAGGGGAATGGGAATAGGAACGGGAACGGGAACGGGAATGGGAATGGGAATGAGCACGGGAATGGGAATAGGTATGGGATTGGGGATGGTTTATGCATATGCATATTTAATCGAACAATAGCCAACGTTTTTATGGCTACTTTCAGCAGATCTATTTTCTGCAAAGGCAACAAAGCAGGCAGATGACCCAAAAAAAATGGGCTCTAAAAAAGATAAATAATTTATGAACAGCAGGAACAGAATGCAGCATATCGCAAGCTAAATAGCCTTATAAAAAACTGTTAATTAATGAGGCGGGAAATTCAAAATTTAAGTAATCAGACAAAATTATAAACAATTTTACACTATTTTTGCAAGTTAAGCTAGTAAATAGTTAAAGTTCATATAAAGTGAAGCTTGTTTCGGGAGGTTAATTAAATGTGACTGCCAATCCATGCATATCTCTGCAGCTAACTTTTAAATATTTATATTTTATTTCAATTCACATAATTGCTCTATTATCTGCATAGTTTTTCCATTTAATTAACTAGCTAATTAGTTGGTAAATCCCAAACAAGCTTTAAATTTTCTGCCTATCTTCACGCAAAGTGTTTTAGCGCAGCCCTGGCAGCTGTTAATTTAGGTCTAATGCTAACAGCGTGCAGCCGCATGTTACAGCTGCTTAGCAGTGCCATGCTGAGCATAACAGTGCCAAATTGAGTACAACAGCATGCGCTTTGCCAATTGGACAGCTGCGCGTCGTGCAAGCGGCACGAAGTGAACAAATTTCAATTTTTCGAATAGGTCGAATTGGTTTACGTTCGGATTCGTGTTGTCAGTTTGAGATTTGAATTCGCGGCGCGCAGTCTTGTGAGCGGCAGAAACCAAACGAAGACGAACGTGCAGCGCGGAACGTGCAACGCATTCGTATTTCGTATGTTTTTTCAACGGCGACTCGACAACGAAATGTGCAACACTTTTTACAAGGAATAACAACAGTTGGCAAACAAATCAAATGTCCCAGTGAAGTGTCCGATAAAAATAATAAAAAAAATCAAAGAAAAACAACAACGTTTAAGCCAAAAGTGTGCCTCAACAGTGTGATGCGAATTGCATAAAAACGAAAGAATAATCGTCTTTTTGTTACTATAAAAAAAGATAAAAAGCACAAGCAAAGTACCTATAAAAGTGCCTACTTAACGATTTATATGCGCATAAATCAAGCGATTTATTTGTTTTTATAGTCTGAGGTAATTTCTGGCTTTTATAACTTAAACATCATTTACAAGAAGTCAAAGCTCAATTGCAAAGCAAGTTTATTATTAACAGACTCAATAGTTGGGAATTATAATAAATAACAGCTGTCATAACTGTTGTTGGCGAGCGCCCCTGAACTTTCAGGCAATTAGCAATGTATTTGGGAATGTGTGTTTGCCATATTTGCATGACAATTACAAAGGCCGGAAGCCAAATGAAAGCCCAAGTTGCGTCCTTCGACCTACGCTCAGGTATTCTACATTTTTTTCTTGTAGAACCTTCACTTGAAAGACTCGACGAGAGCGCAAAGTGCGAGGCGAAGCACTCGTAAATAGGCTTTGGATTTGACTTGATTTCAATGACAAAGCCAGAGACAATGTGTGGGCTGCCTTTCAAAACAGACTTTGGAAAGAAAAAATCAATTTTGTTAAATCTGAATCGAAATCTTGTCCATTACAAAATATGTTCTTGACGAATTTGTGTTAAATGCCGCTTATCAGCGGCAGACAACGAGCTGTTGCCAGTGCCCGAACCGTAATTTATGGTAATTTGCGTTACGCATACGCAGTGTGGCACTCGGTTTGGCCACAGCCAACAGCCACAGCGATTGGCTCAACACATGTTGCACATTCGTCTGTGGGAGTCTCTAAAGTGCTCCACATGACCTACATACAACAAGCCGCAGCAACAAGAGCAACAACTACGGCAACTTTGACTCGGGCAGTGTGTGGAACAAACGTTCTTTTTTATTTGAATCAATCAGCAAAAATTACTACGCACATTTGCAGTTGATTTTCGAGAAGCCGTAAAAAGTTTCAGCATATGCTGAACCCACAGCGTGGCAACAGCAGCAGCAGCAGCAGCAGCAGAGGGCGCCCCTTCTTGACCCCGCAACGCCTCCCAAAGTTGCAGCTGCCTGTTGCATGTTAATTGCCTTTTAATTTCTCAAGCTGTGCGTTGTCTGTGTGTGCGTGTGTGTGTGTGTTTAATAATGAAACTTAATGCACTCTCCGCAAAGATTCTTAACCGTCTGTCTGTTTTTTGTTATTTCTGATGCGTTCTTATACCCTATAAAAAAAAGAACTTTAAAGATGGAGAAATTTTTAAAAAATTGTTTATCTTGGGAAAGAGTCAATTTATGGCTGACACAAACAAATTTGTTCATTCATATCTTTATTAGTTATTTTATTCAAATATTAAGTTATATTCCAAAAGTTTTTAATAATATCTAGCTGATTTACCTGCACGCTTCTTGACATTATCTGCTCGAGTCGCACTTTGGCTTTTCTCACCTCTAAGAAGTAGAAACAAGAAATTGTGAGCTTAAGACTTAAGATTGAGAAGGGTTTTGCTTTCACATCAAATGCTGTCAGCTCATAACACATTTTTTCAAGACGCCTTCAAACCTTTTACAGGATATGTCGCAGCCTAGCATGCCTGAGAATAGAAAACACTTTATGTAGGATTAAAAACTGGGGCTTGAGTTCAAAGATCTAAGAACACAGTTTGGAACTCTCTAAAAGAAACCATTTATGAAAGGATTAGAAACTAGAATTAGACAGTTTATTACTTGAGATTGAAGATTAAAGATCGAAAACCACTTGGAATTTGGTTAGCTCCCGACACATTAGATTAAATACACTTACGACGATTTGACATTTCATTTGACATCAGGTAAAAACCATTTTCAAAGCTAGAACATTTCTGTAAAAATTGAAATATGAAGGAATTGAAAATGAATAAATTTAAATAAGGAATAATGGAAATTCTTAAAAAGAAAAACAAGAAATAATATCTATTACCAAGTATCTTGTGATTTGCTAATTACTAAAAGAATGTTTTAAAGTTTAATTTAAAATATTTTTATGTAGTTGTAGAGGGTTTTTTTTTATTATCGTACTACTATATTATATAGCACTATAGGAAGAATCGGCCGAAGTGTTCGGTTTTCCAAAATCTTTTCATCAAATTTAGCCTTTTTTTTACACTTCTCACTAATTTGCCAAATTAAAAGGCAGATGTTTGCAAGGATATTATATCTTTGGCGTGCCGAAGATGTTCTTACTTTCTCGTTTTATTATTATTTGTGCGGATTAGTTAAGAGCAGGCTGTATAGATGGGTCTACTTTTGAGATGGCCACCTTGTTTAAGTATAACGATCTCTAAATGTCGCGCCGATACTCATTACTCATTTAAAGATGAAAAGCAAATGAAATCCATAAAGTTCCTCAACTCAAGGGAATATAGTTCGTTTTGGCAGCTTTCACGGGGTATCGCGCAGTTTGGCAGCTGTTTAAAGAACTCTTTAACTTGCTTTATTTATTTTTATATTATGTGATTTTTTTGTTGGTGTTGTTCTTGTTTATTTTTCAATGAAGCACGTTCTGTAATTTAATTCGAGCTTGTGCGCAGACGCAGCGACGCACTCACATAGGGAAAAGGGTCGCAAACTCTCATCAGGTTGGGTTCTGTGCTTTGTTCGAGTGCCTCAAATCGTAAGCGGAAATTGTGTATTAAGTGGACGCAGGGGGAACCTACAAAATAATGTAGAGTGTTTGGGGTAGCTGCCTTTTGTTGCCGTACGTCTGTCTCTCTCTCTGTCGGTCTGTCCGTCTGTCGGTCTGTCCAAACTGATTAGGCCCCGAACAGAGTTTCTGATTCTGTAACTCTGCAGCTGGTACATGGCATATCACTTAGCCTAACAGCAATTACTGTCGAGCGTCGAGCGTCGAGTGCTTAGATAGAAAACAGCTTCCGAGTTGAGCCAAAGCAGCGCCAGTTGCAGTTCCAGTTGCCCCATCATCAATCCCCCGATAAACAGACTCTATCCAGACCCAATTCCAAATGCAGTTGCCGTTTTTGTTGCTGTGGTTGCCAGACGTACGTACTGCGGCCAGATTTTCGCAGTCTGGCAATAATTTTTGCTGGAAAAGTGCTTTGAACTGTGTGTTGAACACAACATGATCGGCATTTGTTAGCGATAATGAATTGAACATTTCTGAAAACATGTTTGTACATAATTTGTATGCAGGCACCACTCGGCACCACTACGGGACTTGTCTCCGTCCGTCCATCTGTCCATCTGTCTGTCCATCTGTCTGGCTGTTCCTCTGTCTCACAGTCGCCCTCCCTCTGACAGGCTCCCTCTCGGCTTGTGTTGGTCTAACTAAGAGCTAAGATACTCGATCTGTATCCTATGGCTGGCTGTTTGTTTTGTGCGCGCACACAAAAAGGCTAACACAGAGAGAAAGAGAGAGAGGGGGAGAGCGAGAGAAAGGGAAAGAGAGAGCAAGACAGCGCCTTGTTGTGTAGAAAGAAAGAAATGTGCAAAGTGTAAAGTGCATATTTATGGCTTGCATAAAATAACTTGTAAAATGCATTCACGAGTGCACACTCGCATTCATATGAACAGACACGTGTTGTGCATGACTGAGTGTGCGTGTGTGTGTGTGTGCGAGTGTGAATTGGCTATAAAGTCATGACAATCACATGTCGAATTAGAGTTGAAGAGGAAGTTGTCGTTAAGGATATGGATATGGAT